ATCTTGTTTTCTATTGTTTTAATACATTATGGGATGCTGAGGGTGCAACTATTGGAAAATTTATAGACTGCACAGCTGTCAGGGTATACACGAGCACAAACAAGCGCAACATTGTTGGATCCAACATGTTGGGAGCGTTTGAACACCATGTTGCGTGTTGTTGGGACTTGTTGGATGTTGTTGCCAGTTTGAAATTCGTCAAACTTTTCAGACAACAAGTCCCAACATTTCTTTTGTTTCGCGATCATCGAAGCGTAGCCCAACAATGTTGCGTTCCTTTGGACAGCACGTCCAACAAAGTCACGCTGKCGCACGCGCACTGCACGCCGTATCCATGGACATTTCAAGCAACAAACAAACGCAAAGTAAAAAAGTTGAATTGGAAAAGCCATCATTTTCGTTTTGTCGCCTGATCCAGCCTCTCGTTAATTTTTCCACGACACTTCTTTTTTGCTTTCTTCGTTTAGGATTTCATTTATAACCATAACTGCTACGCATTTTCGTTTCTTTCCACGTTGTATGAATGCAGCCATGATGATTTCAAGTAAAATGGCGGATAAACAAACACTAGGTTTGAAAGGTATTGCGGACATATTTCGTCACAGGATCCTTTGCATTGTCATCATAATGCCCAACATGTTGAGACTTGTTGGGACCGTTTGAGTACAATCGCCAACCTTATCCAACAACTGCCAACAATGTTGGGTGTTGTTGCGCGCGTTTGCTCGGGCAGCAATTGAATTCGCTGGTAGTTAGAACAATATACGAAATACCAAGACTTCAAATTATTTTAATGCTTTTATTATAATGTGTCCCCGCTATGCGTTACACAAGAATTTTCTACGTGTCGCCCGGGCCTCTCATCATCATCATCATCATCATCATCATCATCATCATCATCATCATCATCATCATTATCATCGTCGTTTCAATTAAGTGCCTGGCAGGAAAGCGTGTTGTGGGACAGCAAACCATTGTAATCATTTTACAAGTGAAAGAAATTTTTCCTCACTGACTTTATAGAAGAAGTATAATTTGCCATGTCAGTCGGACGTCCCTTCCACGATTTTAGTTTCAACATTTTACTCAGCAAGTTAGCAAAAATTCGATCAACACTGGACAAAGAAGAGCACCTCAAATTTCCAAATTTCAGGGTGATAGGTTGGAAAATGGCAACGAGAGCATCAATATATGTGCTCTCTTGCAACGATCTACAGCTCAGCCCATGTGGTTAATGGAGCGGAATGGTTAGGAAACCTTTTGTTCGATGTTTTTGTTTGTCTTTATCCATTGTTATATGACGTTGACAGTGCACAGTGAAGGAAAAGTTTCTCCATTTGTTCACAGTATTAGGCAATGTAAAAGTTTTTTACCCTTAAGAAATATGTTCTACAATATGTTCTACAATATGTGTTATTTGTTAATTARTCCTATATGATTAATATTAATTGTTTATTGAAAATGAAATGCCCTTTTTAATGCTTTCTTACTTATCACCTAGTAACTTAACTGTACCTGCACGGAAATATCTATTCGCAAGGTTTTTGGTCATGGAATGATAGTTTTTACTTTCAAAGTGTTCATACATGAAAATAATAAGGAAATGAGTATTTTCAGCTATACTTGCTTTGGTTCATCGTGCTCTGACTGATGGTACGATTCAGCATCAAAGGCAAAACAATAGCTTTGTTCTATGAAGTTTCCAAACCATAATTCCACTCCATTGATATACTCAGCCCTATAGGTCACGAAATTTTACAGACGTTGGTATAATGGAATGCAAAACTATTTAATTCGCCTGTTAATAGCAGTTAATGATAGTTTTTACTTTCTAAGTGCTCATACATGAAAATAATAAGGAAATGAGCATTTTCAGCTATACTTGCTTTCATCGTGCACCTTCGACAGTAACACGTGATGGTACGATTCAACATCAAAGGCAAAACAATAGCTTTGTTCTATGGAGTTTCCAAACCTTTCCACTCCATTAACTAGCTATGCTTAGCCCTAAAGGGTCACGAAATTTTACAAACGTTCGTATCAGTGGGATGCAAAGTTGTTTAATTTGCCTGTTAACAATCCGTATCACTCTCTTGAAAACGCAACTTGATTAATGTACTAACTTCGAGGTGCTTTACCAGCATTATCGATGGATTTTTGCTAACTCGTCCATTTAAAAAGTCGAAAAAACCGTGAATGGATCTATATTCTTCTCGTTATAAACTAGAGCGCTAACATGTATGCCTGGTTTGCAAGAAAGATATTTTAGGCTGTCTACTGGATAAATATTTAATACCTACGATACTCCAATAATGAGCGTTTTTTTCACACTTCGTTAACTTTTWAAATCCTTTTCGTCATAAGCTAAATGAAGCTGAACTCACCCATTCATTCACGTCATACTTGTATATTGGCTTTTCATTTTCCTCTTTTACGTCTTTTTTTAAATTCCAAAGTTGGCTTGTACAGGATATGACGTCATTAATGTAATTACCGTTGAAGCCTATTTCCTGTAATTGTTATTGTGGGAGAAAACGAATATTCTTTTCAAAAGACTTAAAAAACACTTTAATATCTATTGTAAATTGATTGCCAAGAAAAGTTTAAAAATATACATATAAAGCTAAAAAAGGAAGACTATTCGACGCTARCATAACGTCATTATATACTGTGAAGCCAAAATGAACGAAGAAAATATGATGAAAAGTACAAGAAAATTTAAAACAGGTTTCCCAGAGAAAACAAGTTGGTCAATAGTGCCACGTCAACAATTTGGAACCTGCTGTTTTGTTTTTGTCGTGTACTTTTCATCTATTATATATTCTCTTCGTTTCTCTATTTCACTTCAAACGTTTTTGAGTCGAAACGTGATTTTTTAGCTTTCTTCTTATGGATTTTAAGATTTTCTTAGAGTTCAATTTAAGTAAAACGGAATAACCCGAGCCAAAGGTTTCAGACGTAATCATAATAAGTCTCATTGATAAAAAGAAATAGAAATAAAGCTTTGAGCCAGGGATATCAAGCAACATCGATTTCAACCCATTCCACYATAAAATAAAGAATTAATACTCAGGGGAGTGACACGTGTTCTGATTATCCCATGGACAAAAAAACAGTTTAATTTACCAAGTATATCACATGCAAATATAATTACAGACAATAATTTGCAAACTAAATTGCCAGCCATGCTGATAAAACGCTTTTATTTGAATACACCATGACATCAATACRTGTACAGTGTATCATGTAGGGCTAGAAATAGTCACCTGCCATTTACTACTGGCAGTCTAAGACCATTTTGGACTTCCAATGGCAAATAAAATGGTACTAGAAGAAATTTGCTCCAAAAAAATTATTTGTCCTGCAAAAAAAACTGTCTGACCATTTTCATTTTCTGTTTTGAGCTATTTGACTACATCAATAACTCCACTGAAAACAAGCACTAACTACAGGCTATTTCAATACTAGTAACRACAAAGAAAATATATTCCAATATTTGTTTTTTTTAGCCTTCTAGGGACATAGAAACTAACTCAAATCTAAAATGTACATTCATGCATAAATATATTACTAAATAAAATGTTTGACAAAATTCAATTTTTGTACTGTTGAAGGATAATACATATATATTAACTGCATTTGAATTGTYATTTCTATTGTTCCCACTTGAATATTTTTTATATTTCCTAATTTCAAGCCTATTTTTCCCACTGGAATAAGTGGACTATGATAATGCCTAGAGTCTAATTTGGCTACTTTATTTGAGAACCTAATGTCTATAATAATTGATATATTAATTTTTGAATCTTTCCTATCACTTCCACTTAATATTGAATCCATTATTCATCCATGTCCAGGTTGACGTTAATACTGCTGGGATCAAAGTCTTCACCAGTGATTCTCTTGTACATAGCCATGATATCTTCACATGTTGTTTCAAAGTGGGTGGTGGCATCATATGACTTGGATATAAATATCTATCAAAAAATGGCATATTTAATGATATCTACTACCTATATTATCTATCACAAATAATAATCCATCAATGACAAAAACAATTAACTCAAAGTTAAACAAAATATATGCCAAGTACAAAAGTATTTTGAGTGTTTGTATATGAAAGGATAAATGATTGATATTTACAAAGGCTAGCCTGCGTCACATCCAGAATTTTCTTCTTCTAAATATTTACAAAGAAAATTCCGGATGTGATGCAGGCTAACAAAGGCAAGCATAACTGAAAAAATAACTATAATGCACAGAAATACATAAGAAAGCATCATGACCCTTGTATCCTGACAGCCCATTTCAAAGCTTCAAATATTGGATTTTGGTCTTTTCTGAGCCGTCAATCATCCTGGTCTTATGCAAATAAGTCTTTGAATGTGCTGCAATCCCTCAATTTCGGCCATTAGACATATAATATATATTGTTTTTTCCCCTTGAAAATCACAGAGAAAATGACTCGAAAATATTCCAATGAAATAATAATATTYCAGAAAAACTGACCAACATTAATAGAGCATTTCTTACTGTACCTTGCTGTCTGTCCCATCATCAAGAGGCTGATAAACATTAGAAATGGACAGAAACTTCTCATCAATCTTCCCCAACAACTTCAAGCCAGGCTCAAGCTCCTGTTCTGGATTGCTTGTTTCAACCGTTGTGCTGACTATGGCAAGGTACTTGCCTTTAGGTGTGACATTATTGGTGTAGGACACACAGCAAACATAGATATCTAAAAAAATAATAGTCAACAGAAATAGAAATTTCTAAGAGCTCCTGTTTATGACAGTTACATTTTGTAGGGTTGGTACAATGTTAAATAAAGGTGTCATTCATACAATATTGATAGGTTGCAAGCATTCCCAAGAGAGTTAAAAGACAAAAACATGGCCATTGTGGTACCGTTAACAATTGATGCTAATGAGAAATCTTTTGTTAAATGGTACCAACATGGCCGTGATGAYGTAATGTGCAAATGAAGAATATAAGAAATGTTTAATTTGTTCAAACAGTAAAATAGAAACTGTAAAATGACATCAGGTTTTTTAGTTAGTTTGGTATCATTTGGAGTTTTCACCTACATTTTTTAAGTCATTATTAACAGGGTTCGTGCTGAGGTAACCACTTAAAATTCAAGGACTATTCAAGGAGTATACAAGGACTCTAAAATGAATTTTTAAGGAGTATGGTTAGCTAACTATGCAAAGGTTTTACACGGTGGTTGCACATGGCTGACTTTCAGATTTTCAATCTTTCTGACTAGATCTATTTCAGAACCATGCAAGTTAATAATCAAAGCAAAAAATTCAGGAGTTTCGCTAATCATAAAATTCAAGAGTTTTTCAAGTGCCCTTAAAAATGTGAATTAAATTCAAGGAGTTTTCAAGGAGTTTAAGGAGTAGCACGAACCCTGTATTAAGAACTGTACTTTGGAATTTAAAAAAGCTAATTGTTCCAGCCCTCATAAGCTTTCTTGCCTGTTCTTAGAGCTTAATAATTCAATATTTTTTGTCTTTTTTAAAAACAAATTAAACAGAATTTAATTTYGGACCAATTTTGTCAACAGCCCCAGCAAAATCAAAATGTGAGCTTCCCAGACCATTTAATTTTGATGACATACGTGGCACTAGTATAGAAACAAAAATTTCAGACAGGATATTAAAGTAGAATATACCCAAAAGTTCTGCTACTAACAATAGATCCAAAGTCAGTCTATTCTGTTGACCTGAAGATGTTTTCACGATGAAAACTAATTAATGCAGTCTTGAGATTTTGCCAGTCTTTTTATTAAATTATTTACCAAAAATTACTTTGATTAACAACCAAAATATGCCTGTATCTTTACTACAGTACAACCTCATCAATTCCTCTTAAAACCAAAAACGATTACCAAGGTGACAGTCTTTTATTTGCTGATTTCTTGAAGTCAGAAATATTTTTTACGGAAATGCTGGTATTTATTTTAAACATTACAAGTAAGTAAATAAAAATATAAAATAAATAGAAATGATTAAAATCTACTTTGTGCTTTGAGTGGATTTTCCACACACAAAGACCCTACTTCATCTTCAACATCTTAAAAGTGAAAATTCTGAAAAGTATAATTCTGGAGTCTTGGTAATTAATTTCTTTATTTACCCAAAAACTAGTAATTCAGATATCAGCTGGAGTAATTCTATTTTACAATGATACAATTACYTGCTGGGAATACTAATTTGGATCAATTTTCTTTCATCTATCCATTTATTCATTCCTATCTCAATTTATAACCCTCCCATTCATTCATTCACTTTCATTCTTCCTTATGACATAAGAGGAATTAATTAAACAAAAAATACCAATAGCTGAAAGAGCCATTTTATCATATCACATGTGGCATTTAACACAATATATTTGACAATATTCAATGAAGATATTGCATATGTTTTTTTATCACCATGCTAAGAAGATAGTTGGTTTTTGGTGAGATYCATTTTACATCATATATATTGTTTATCGAAGTACAGTATCAGGATCATCCAGATGGATGTAAATCCTAAGAAGCACTGTTTGATGTGACTGACATTTCCACAACTTGAGCGGAAGTCATCTTCAGAGTCAAGTGAAGAATAAAGTCAGATTGGTCATATTTATACTGCCACGATAACAATAGCCTAATTACCTGGATTTGCGTAAATTGGCGGCATCAGTCTAATTAGCGCAAGAGGCTGTTTCTGTGTTGTGGGTGGAGTTATTGTTTAATTCTAATAAAAGATTCTTCACTTGACTCTGAAGATGACTTCCGCTCAGTTTGTCAAAATGTCAGTTCCATCAAAACATTGCTTCTCAGGACTACATTCACCCGGATGATCATAATAGTTCAATTAACATTCATTTTCCTGGGTTCAGACCGTTTTATACAATATCATATGTTATTGTTAAATAAATTAATAACATTGGTCAACTACTTACCAGAGTTTCTATTGACCTGCTTTTGTGGAATAATAAGCTGACACGACTGGTTGTCATAGGTATTTGGAATGGGATGAGATAGAATACAAATGCACCTTACAACCTCACCGACAGCCTTCACCTTATCTGGAAAGTAAGATGGGTCACCAATGACTGCCTTTGCTTTGGCCGTTTCTTCCCCGGATGTAACAGCAACCATTCCATTCTCTGAAGTAACAGATGTAACTGTTTTRTTCAATATGAATGTACCTCCCCAAACAGCAGAAAGACGCGCAAAGCTCTGAGGCAGTTCACCTAGACCATAGACAGGATAGAGGTAAGGGGATTTACCATATCGCGACAGAGAATCATAATACAGTTTAATCCTTCTAATAGCATCTCCACATGGCTTTTCTTTATAGCCGTCATCTAAATAAAGAGCAATGGCATGACCAGTGAATTCTGCTGTATCGTTGCTAAGTCCCCAGTGCTCAAATACCTCTTTCATGGTCGTGTTGACGGGATCACAGCCTTGCCAAGTAGAAGGATTTTCGCAGTCGTAGTTTAAGGCAAAGATAAGAAAACTCCGGAAACGTCGCTTCTCGAATATTCCCATTAGGCTAGAAGACAATGCCTCTCGTTCATCTGCGGGCACTTTGTAGATATACCCGCCGGTATAGACGTAACTGCCATCTATCTGCTTGAAGTTCAAGTACTTGGTTACTCCTGTGTGCACTAACAATTTTACCAACGACCCGTGAGCCATTAAAAACTTGGGAATAAGATCCACATTATAATCTTTAGGTTTGCCCAAGCTTTCTTCAGGAACGTCGCTTCGAGTAAAGAACTCATAAAGTTTGCCGAGAGGATGAAGAGAAGCGCAGTCACCGCCATAGTAATTATTCCGGTCGATTTGTAGGACTTTCTTCCTTTTCACTGACAAAAGRCCGCTCAAAATACATTCCTTTAGACCTGTGCCCAGCACAATGTAATCATATTCTTCATTCATGGTGGAATGGCAGTGATTTTGAAGGTTTTTTGTGGTAATACTTCAAAGGAATTCCTCCACCTGCGGGTGTTTTCTCTGTTGTTTTTTTCTCACTCTTCATTTTTTCCTAAATTTTCCGCGCATGCTCACACCACTGGAAACGTCCACGATAAAACAAAAMATCTGATTGGTTTAATTTTGGACTAATAAAAGTCAACCAATCATTATCGTTGATATAAAAACATTTCCATATAAACCGCTGGTTGTAATATTTTCTGACAATGGGCTCGATTCTAGAGACACTTTATATTCATATCGTTGATTGGCTAGACTACAAATATCTACCAATCAAAAAGCTTCTTATATAGACATTCCACGCTATATCGCTTTAATCCTAAATAACGATATAAGAGGAGAGGTGAATTACTAAAAAATATTACTTAATTCTATCTTTCCTGAGGCATAACCGGCATCAAGACCTTCTTTCATCTCATCATAACTGAAAAGTTTACTCATTTTGATATCTGGTTTGAATTCACGGCGTGAAAATGTGTGGTGAGTGCAAGTTGTTTTGTGGACGGTTTGTTTTGTTGAGTAGGTTGTGCCAACGTGTAAGGGTTTACCCGGCGGCGATTCACGGCTTCATTTGGTGGCTTCATTCAAATATTTCTTGTTTTCCAAACATCACGAAATCTTTTGTATCTGTTTATTTCGTGTTTTGCATTAACCATTTTGTTTTTCTGTTATTTTTTAGGAATTTTTGCTTATCTTAATTTCTGTGTCCCAAGAAATAAAAAATACATCTTACAAACTTTGATCAAAGGGCTTCAAAGGCTTGAATATAGAGGATACGATTCTGCAGGTTTGTTCTTTATTTCATTCTTTAATCTTTTATCGTATTCCATTTCATATAATTATATTTATTTTTTAATCCATTTTCAGGTGTTGCTTACGATTCGAATAACAACACTACAAGGTAAGCTATAGTTTTGAACTTTGATAAAGTTGTGAAATCTTAATCTTAGGCTTAGAACCAGTCACGAAAAAAATTGTTACTCCAGAATTAGCTCTAATTTCTCTTTTTTTTTATCGAATAATTCTTATCTGAATCTAACTATATTTTTCCTTAAACGTCATTAATGTTTTTGTCGCTTTTTTAAAATTTATACCAAATAAATACGATTATCCAGACCATGTAGCAACCGTGCGTTTCCAACGTCGTCTGACGCACACACCRTTGTTTTTTTCTCTCTCATTGTTATAGTATTATTACGTACATGTATTTCCGTCRTTTGGGACGTGGCTGCTTGATACTTTGCTGATACCAATATCAGACGTGAAGGGTGTGGTTGGGGCATACCTCTCATTTTTCATTATTATTTTATTCATTCATTCCTTGCAATGAACCTTTATGTGGGAAGAGCAGTGTTAAAATCAAAATGTAAAAAACTATCTTTAAAAATCAAAATTTTGCATTCAAACCCTTCCTGTGGGCATATATTGTCTCTCGGAAAGGTTTTCTTACAAAATTCATACTTTTCAAATATCATATGAGTTTGGAACTTAAAAAGATATAACTAGCTAAAAACTAGTGTGAGCTGCGTCGGTGTTTCTAATGAAACAGAAATGATGAAAAGGTAAATTATACACCGTGAAAAGATGAAAAAACTTACTGACGTTTCGGACACTAGTCCTTCGTCGGAGTAAAAGAGGAAAACTTTTGGAACTTACTGTATTTCCTTTGAACTTCAAAGTTTTACTGATTTTAACTTACTCTTTCCAGTTATGGTGACCATAAATACCTGATAAAATCCCATTCTTCCCTTTCCTTYATAGTGACTAAAATAGATTGGACAATGAGCAGGTTTCATTTTTCTTTGCTCTGTACCGTGGAATCATGATTATAATAAGAATTAATGATGTAAACATTGCAAGATGCATTTGATATAGTTTAAATCTGTGTTTGTAATATATATACTTGATTCCAATATTTCAAAGGATGAATTATGAGCTAATATGACCTTTTAATGAAAACCTTTTAAAATGCTTTTGGTACATTGATTGATTTGACATCAAGTTTGACATTTGGACATTGAACTGCATTGCTTAAAGTTTTCTCAGAACATTAGGTAGTCTTAACAATTCCTGTTCCTGTTTTCCAAAGAATTCCTTTTAGACTTTATACAGGCCTGTAATATGAGTATATATATATGAAGGATTATGTTTTTAATGTATTAGTAAATTTTAGCTGGCCCATTTTTTTCAGCAGGTATAATTGAATGATGCTTTACTAACCATGGTAACTAAATGTTATCAAAAATATGTGATATGTGTCGTGTCTTTTTAATAATGGATTTTTTGTCTACCAGATATTCCAATTTAAATTCAAATTATTATTTTTTAATTTGACTACCCAGTCAGTAATTTAATAACATTTGATATAATATTATGCATGCACTGACTGGGGTCATAAATGCATTATATATATTAAAGAGGATATAGATGCATTATAACCACAGTACAAATATAAATAATTGATATTTATTCTCATATACATTATGTTTTCACCAACTTAACTTTTTTCCTAACTTATAAATTCAATTCTAATATTGCAGTTATGATCAGTCCAGATTTGATGTGATGATCAAAACTTTAGAACTTTATCTCCATATTGATACCCTTGAAACAACTATGATTGCATGATCAATATTATTATTGTTAGCATTCAATTAAGAATGTTCCAGATTATTATTAGATATTTCWTAAAACTATTTAAAATAAGTAATAATGTTTAAATCTGCATTATTAAGAAATAATTATAAAGAAATGGTTTATTTTAAATTTTTATTTAAGATAAAAAATATTTATTATGTACAATAGTGTGCAGTAGATTTAATTAAACTGATTTGGTTAAAACATGACCAATATTACAAATTGTATTTCATTGCATAAAAATTTACRTTTGCTTTTATGAAGCTATGAAATTATAATTTGTTTTCACAGTATTTCTAAGTGCAATTTTTTATTCCATGTAAAAAGTTTTTGTTAAAAAMAAATTGTTTCAAAAACAACTGGTTGACCAGAAAAAGAATATTGAATTTCCTTCTACTTTTTTGACATTTTTTACAWGTAATTTTATAAGAATTTTCTATAATTTTAGTACTATAAAACATATAATGTAAATAAATCTAAAATTAAAGCTGTAACTTTTGATTGAGTCATACATTCTGTGAAACAGTCATGCAATGATTTGGTTGGTYGAGCAAAGTTCATCAATGGAGTAGTTTTATTCTTTTAAAATTACTGAGAACTTTGAACTATAAAGTTAGTTCCAGAGGGAAGTAATGAATGGAAAAATGCCAAGTTGCATTTTGAGGTATTTTTGATAAATTTGTTTCAAAAACAACTGGCTGACCAGAAGAAAAAATATTAAAAATTTACTTCTACTTTTTTGATATTTTATACAACTTAGTAATTTTATATAATTTTTTTAAGTACAGTAGCTGTAATTTCAGTACTATAAAACATATAATATGTAAATAAATCTAAAATTAAAGCAGTTGATTGAGTCATTCTGTGAAACATAATTCATGCAATGATTTGGTTGGTTGAGCACAGTTGGATCAATGGAGTAGTTTTATTCTTTTAAAATTACTGAGAGCTATGAACTATAAAGGGAAGTTGTAATGAATGGAAAAATGCCAAGTCACATTTTTAGTTATTTTTGAATGATGAAGTTGGCTGTGAATGACAGGAATCGTGATAATGAGCATGCAAGGACTCAGATCATAGGCTGAACTTCAAACAGGAAAAACTTGATGTCACGTCCATTAGAATTAACGCAACGCTGGTTTTGAAGTGTGGCAGACAATATCTAAGTGGAATTTCAAATTTTTCATTCATTTTGAGTCTGCCACAGCTAGACATGCAGATAGAGTTCATGTACATGTAGATACCTTCTGATCAAAGCCAACTTAATCTTTCTAAAACTTTTCTGTCTGAAGGTTCCACAGTGTATACTTGATCCCAAACGTTTTTGACCTAGTGAAACTTTTATAATATTGTACAATAAATTTCTGTTGAAAAGCTACTTAACTGTAGTTCTGCATTTTAATCATATTAAGTTATGTTACTAGGGTATGTATCTATAGTCAATTGACATTAATTAAATTGGTTTTCYATATTGCTATTTTAGAGAAAAGAAGCTATAAACAATATTTTTTCAGTATTCTTTTTCTTATATTAATATGTGACAATAATGCAATGAACATCGTTTTAGCATTTATTTGTTTAAGAATTTTAGTAATTTGAATTTTTATACCAACTAGTCAACACATAACTTAATTGAATCTTATTTTTATTCATTGCAGGATCGTAAAGAAAAGGGGAAAGGTTGCAGCCCTATCCAAACACATTGAAGGTACTATRCTGTATGTACACACACTGATCGCATTGCATACCCAAACTTTTACAATGAATTTTAAATCTTCATAATATATGATTATCTTGAAGCAGTAGAAGTTTGAGTCTAGACATTAATTATAGAATACTGTGTTTATTGCTGCAGTATATTGTCTTCTATTTGGTAGTATATGTATTGTATGTAGCCTGTTCCCTGGGCAATCATGTTATGTACCGTCTTGGTATGTTGCAGTAGTCGTAACCTAATAATAATGATACTAATGAAAATTTATRTAGTGCCCATATCCATATAAAAATACCAATTTACAATCTAAAAACCTTCTCTTTTGCTGCACCTGAACTCTGGWACTCTCTRCCTCTATCTTTAAGATCCTTTCAAACTGTCCTTAAATTCAAGTCACAACTTAAAACTTATCTGTTTAAAAACTATTTTGATTTTTATAGTTATTATTAGTTTTTGATTATTATTGTTATTATTATAGCGCAGCGCATAGAGCATTCATTTGGATATGCGCTATATAAATGCACTATTATTATTATTATTATTATTATTATTATTATTATACTTAGGCACTTTACAATAATTGTGAAATAACTGAGGGGAAAAGTAAAAATTATTAGAGGATAATATGGATAATATAAAGTGTCATTTTTAAAATGCTTGAGCCTTTACACAATATTTTCAGAATTGATTCTTTAAATAGTGAAAATAATTCATCATTTTCAAGAATGTGGGGTCTTTGAGATASAAAGGTTTACATAATTTCCAATATGTTAATGACTATGACRTAGCATATTAAGGGATAGGAGTTTKTTATKGCAACTTTTAATATTGAACRCTGGACATTTTTTGAGAACAAATTTGTAAGAACCTTTTTGTGAGTCATGAGTAAAGGGGTGTGTCATGCTTTTAAAAAGAATCTAGGAAATCTAAAAATCTCATAAAAAATCTAGTATCACTCTGATTGGCAACAATAATCTGAATAAGTGTGTTTTTAACTGTTTCTTGAATGTATCAAATGGTATCTTGAAGTCTCTGAGATTGTTTGGGAGAGAGTTCCATAATTGTGGTGCAGACACGCTAATAAAAGTTTGCAGCCATGACTTTTCATGTGGTACATGGTGTAGACTCAAGGTAGCACCTGGATGCAGAATGCAGGCTTCGCATCAGTGAATAGACCTTTGCCAATTGTTGTTACTAGATAGCTTGATGCCTTTCCATTAAAACACTTACAAGTCATTAATATGATCTTAATTGTAGACTCAAGGTAGCACAGGGATGCAAACCGCAGGCTTCACATCAGTGAATAGACCTTTACAAATTCGACCTTGTTACTAAATAGCTTGATGCCGTTCCATTAAAACRATATTGCAAGTCATTAAATATGATCTTGATTGTATATTCAATTCATACTTTTACTGGTAGCCAGTGAAGTTCTTTTGGAAGTTARGCTAATCAGTCTTGCCGAGGAGTTTTGTGCCGGAGTATATAAYCCAGTATAAAAATTATSCATACAGCTGTACRCTGCAGTCTACTGGTACTCTGGTACTGTACTTATATGGACAAAAGTTAAATTTGCTACAGCTGTATACTGACAGCAGCTCTAGTTGATCTTTTAGCACGGTTTTCCACTTTGGGAGGTTGAAATTTAACTTGGGAACATGTTCARTAATTCAGAATGTTGAATTTAGCACAATATCTAGACCATTCATTGTTTGTCTTTCGTCTGTCAGCTATTCAGCCAATATCATATTGTCATGCAACACTTACTACTTAGGGGAGTAAGGGAGTAAGCGTTGCATGACAAYACCAATAACAGCTGCATATAAGAGACTACTGTCAGCTGAAAGTGYTTTAAATGCTTTCCATGATTTTGACATTCAGATCAAGATGAATTCAAAAATGGTGAAAAAACAGACATTCATGTTGGGATTGCACACACTCGCTGGGCAACTCACGGAGAACCAAATGAACTCAACAGTCATCCACAAAGATCTGGTCAAGACAATGGTAGGTGACGACTGTCKTGATGAAAGTTGACTGGAAAATACTACAGCTGATGAATAAATGAAGGAATGAATCCAAATGCATTTGAATGAATCCATGCATTTGAATGAATGAGTGAAACAAGGAAGGGAGGGATGAAGRGATGGATGGAGGAATGAATCAATGAACAAAGGTCACAGGATGTTTAGCTACATGCATTCATTTGTCTCTTTCAGAATTTGTTGTTGTGCACAATGGAATCATTACAAACTACAAGGACATAAAAGTTTATCTGGTAAAATCTACATGTATTTAATACCCTTACAAGGGATGGCTTAACAAATGACCATTTAAATATGCCCATCATGATGTCCTAAAATTAGTTTTAGCTTAGTCAGACCTCACTTTTGGCTCAGCGTTACTGGTCAAAATGACCAGTAAGGAAAAGATTTCCCTTTCCACCGCTCCCTTAATTACAAGCACTTGAAGAAAAAAAATTGTCTTTCCTTGGTCAAATAAATACCTAGTGGAAATTTTTTTATATAAACTTTCATTTTATTTCATTCAATTGTTTGGAAACAATAAGTTTTATCGCATTTGTTCATATGCTCWATCTAACCTCCTTTACAAGACCAAAGGAGGCCCAAACTTTTGTTATGGTGTGGGAACCCCTGTGTTTGTAACTTTATTGGATAACTATGTAATTAAAAAGCACAAAATAATGAATATATCATCGTATAAATATTGCAAATCTCTGGGGTTTTTTTAGGAAGGAAAAGGGTTCAAGTTTGAATCTGAAACAGATACAGAGGTCATCCCAAAACTTGTCAAATATGTTTACGACAAATCTGTAAGTACATTGTGAATATGAGCACACTTGTGAGACTACAGTATATAGATTTCATTTATATAAATCAAGGGTCATGTAGTGGATGTGAACTTCTCCCCCTCTCTCCAGATCCTCTGGGTACTGTAGTTTTTCTGCCCATGGGGGNCGTTCTTTAATCTCTTAATCCAAAGGTTGTTCTCTGGGTTTTCCTTACTCAACACAACCTTTAAAAACACTAACACTAAATTCTAATCAATCTGTAAGTTATTCATGCCTTTACTTCAAGATCARAGACTGAGACTGAGACTGTTTTATGGACAGTACAATGTAATAATTAGTTGCCAAATTTAAAGAAGTTGTGAAATGTCTCTACAGGTCCTCTTTTAAATTGCCATATTTACTAATTTAAGCACCGCCCTCAAATAAGTGCCGCACGTGCGCACTACATGACCGAAATAATTATTAATAAGTGCTGCCCCCAAATTAACACCACATATCAAACCCAGCAAAATTAATAACTTCAAACAAGTAAATGTGGCATCCTACATTTAACAATGCAGTATACTTGGACTCAGATAATCATTTTGAATTTAATCAATCGTATATTGAAACCTTCTGGATAATCATGTAATAGTATATTTATATACTGTTTATAATCAAATGGTGAATAGATCAAGAATACAACAATTTGACAAAAGTTTACCAGGGTGATCTCTCAATCTTTCTCTAGAAAAAGGAAAACAAGGAATTGCAGTTCAGGCAGTTGGTTGAGTTGGCCATCTCTCAACTGGTAAGCTGGGATGGATTGTTATCGATTGTGCTACTGTACTAACAATRTAAAAATGTGATCAACTGAATGAACTTTTTCCCATCTAATTAAATTAGGTCGGAATCAGCTAGTTATATTCTTTTAATAACATTGTGACCACAATGGTTTTTCTTTGAATAGTGAACATCGGTTCTTTAATTTAACTTTGTTCACTACTGTTCAGTCCAAGGAAGTTACGTGAAGTGGGTAATCTTGTAGTACCTCTATGACCAGGCTATGTACTTGTTGGCCGACAGTCACAGAGCCAACAGCAGAGTGTTGTCCAAGTGTTGSCCATCAGTTTTTGAGTTTTTTTTGTGGGCCAATGCTTGACTCCAACACTTGGCTGACAGATGGGAAATACACTTACATGCACGGCCATGCATGGCCAATGAACAGTAAAATAAGAAAGTATCCCCAGTTGAACAATATTTAATTCTTTTGTAATATTAAGTGGATTTTATACAGTCAGTAATCAAACCCTTCAGTTTAAGGAATTCCTCTTTTAGTCTTGCTGCAGTAATAAAAAATAACTGCTACTTTTCAATTAATTTTTCTTGCTAAGAAAGTAGCTGCTTTTTACCTTTCTTAATTTATTATTAATATTAATATATTATTATTTTTGCCAGGAAGGAGCATTTGCTTTGGTTTTCAAGAGCCGTCATTTCCCAGGACAGATTGTTGCTACCAGGTATAAMTGTCAATTAGAAAATTTATTGAATGCCAGGGTTTGATTCAGGAATCAAAATAAATACACCCCTGAATGCATGTCAAATAAAAAATTATGTGCAAATAAAGTAGCCTGAGCCCACTGAACCAGAGTAAAATCGCTGAAATTCATACCCTGTTGCAGAGCAAGATCTCTGAAAATCATAACCTATTCCGGTATTGCAAAAGTAGATACCCTGTTCCAGAGAGGAGAGAGCGTGATTTCATATACCCTGTCCCAGAGCGAGCGCGATTTTATATTACCCTGTTCCAAAGTAGAATTACTGAAAACCATACCCTGTTTGGCAGCACGTACGTGTATAGCAAATATAGGGGTATGAGCATAATTAATTCAGTGTAATYAAAATTTGTGTCTTCATTGAAAAGCATTTCAAAACTTAGACAGTCCATTCAAATTGTTTTTTTCAACMTAGGCGTGGTAGTCCCTTGTTGGTTGGTATTTCTACCAAAACTCCTTTAAAGGCTGATAAGCTCCCAGTAATATACAGYGAAGGTATGTACAGGTTTTTGTCATTACTTAATTATAATAATTTATATTAAATTTATATTAAATATTCATTGATAGTTATTGTAATTATAGTAACTATTTTGTGCTACCCCTTATAATTAAATTTAGATTAATATTATAATTATGATAAAAATAATAATTAACAATATTTGCCGAAGGCAAAGTATATATTTGGTAATATTAATTTTACAGTTCTGCGAGCCCTCAAGCAGCGAGGTAAATATTACATCATATTCACTGAGCCTGAGGTGAATAATTGTTTTAGTATTTTTAACACAAGTGAATTTAATAAATAACGGTAYAAATCGACAAACAAGCATACATATGCCCGGYGCTATATTCACCTGTAGTTGAATATTTAACAATTATTCGCCGAAGGCGAAGTGGTTATCGAGCGGCGAGGTAAATATTCCCCAATAATCACTGAGCCTGAGGCAAATAATTGTTTTAGTATAAATACACAGGTGATTCTTTCAAAAAAAGGAAAAAAAATAAGATAAAAGGCTTTTTTTYCCCCGGTAACAGCAACAAAGTGGCTGGACGCGATTTTGGATTTTCGCTCAAGGTGATTATCGTGTGATAGTGTGAGTTGCATGACCAATCAGCGTGCGAGATTTTCTATAACCACTAACCACCTGCGTATTTTTACTAAAGCAGCATAATAATGATGTAAATTGTAACCAATGAGCGCGCCAGATTCTTATATTCACTTGTATTAAAATAATTATTATTATATTATTATTATTATTTATCATTATTATTATTATTATGATCATCAGCACTATTATCATCATTATCAACATCATCAGCATCATCACCAGCATTATCACCAGCATCATCACCACCATCATCATCATCACCATCATCATATCATCATCACCACCATCGTCACCATTATCACCATCATCATCACCATCATCATCACCACCACCATCATCATCATCATCACCTTCATCAGCATCATCATCACCATCATCATCACCATCATTATCACCACCATTATCACCATCATCATCACCATCATCATCACCACCACCATCATCATCATCATCATCACCTTCATCATCATCACCATCATCATCCCCACCATTATCACCATCATCATCACCACCATCATCACCATCATCATTACCATCATAAAACATTTGAGATACATGCATAATGCAAATGTTGATTGGCTGGCTACTGTGCTTATACCTTTTCAGAGGACAGAGCTCGGACAAATTTTTACAAAAAATTGCAGGCTCAATCTTCATACTTGAGCAATGTAAATTTAGTATTTTCCTGAATGTTTCTGAAGTTTTTGCTGCCCTTGAAAACATAGTAAAACTCCTTGAAAATAGAGAATATACCTGACTCTGTGCATCTTATACAATGTAGCTGCTGTAATTTGTAAAATTTTCACTCAGACTCTCTGGCTTGTTCATGATTTTCTCCTAGTATAATGATTTGCAAAAATCAATGAAAACCTTTAAAAATAAGGAAAGGTGACTTTCATCAAATTATACCCATTACCACAATTAATAAATACTGGGCTGTAAAAGCTAGCTTATGCTGTACGCAAACAGTACTAATTTAAAGCTTGCTAGCTTTAACTTTAATGATACTGTATGCATAGATTTGATCTGCAAATTCTTTTTTTAATTGCAAATGTTAATGAAAATATTTATAAGCACAATTGATAAATTGTTTTAAATTCTATAATATTGCACATGATGATGTATTAAATAGAATGAGTTATAGTCTTGCAGCAAAAAGTAAGGATAATTACCTAACATTCCTCCTTTCCTCAACGCTCATCTCCTCTTCACTACCTAGCTCTCCTCTTCTCCCCTCTCCTCTCCTCTCCCCTTTTTAAAAAAGATCTAAATCACTATTAGTATCAAGTTAAATAACGTAAATAAAGGTCACACAAAGGCAGTAATTGTTACCTGCCAATATACAGTACTTGTCATTATATCAAAGCCATATTTTTATCAGTGATATGTTGAATTTAAAACTCCTGCATCTTAAATGCACTTAATTCAATAATATTTAAGCACTCTATGACTTGTAATATAACAATAAAATGCACTAAAATCATGTTTTAATAATTTCCCATCTTGCTTTTCATGTGGTGATGGGATATTAGGGGATTTTAGGTTAGAAGGTTCTGGTAAGTGCACTGACTCTCTGTCTTGACTAATTATCTGAAAATGAATCATGATTTTATCTCGTCTATCCAACATGCATATATGTCATACGTAAAGTTATGCCTTGACCATGATATAACCATGTACAATGATTGTGATTGGATGAGCAGAATGATCTAGTGTGATCTAGCTGGTCTAGCATGTTATGATTGGTTCAACAATTAGTATTATTAGGGACCTTAAGCTATTGCTAGCATGGCAATAAGGATCATCACCATGGTAACAACAGCACTAATTGCCACATTTCAACGTAGCAATTAGTATGAAATGTGACATAACGTCTTTGCTGTATTAAGGCGATATGCTGGAAATACATCATGAAATGTCCTCGTTTCCCGATGAAAGCAAAAATATTATCATGGCAATGTCAAAAGGTCATTTATTGCTGCACTTGATTTTTTGTTCTAAGTCATCCTCTTCTAAAAAATTTGGTTGCTTTTAATTKTAACGAGTGAAAGACCAGACAAGCATTTAAAATAAATGATACAATAGAGCCGGGTAATAAGTGCATTGATTTGCTGTYGTTGCCTGTGTTAATAATAGTTGCAATCTTAAAGCTTACTGTGGTTTTGCATATTCTGGGAACTCACACATTTTAACGGCTTGTTGTGAAATTGTTTTTTACTGCCGCCAGTCAAGAATACAAAAGGTAAGGTACCGAGGGATTATTTTTGATTGACGGCAGTGAAAAACCAAATTKCAGCGTGCAGTTAGCAATGCTACCGAGTTTGCAGAATATGGGAAACTGGAGTAATTAAGGTCCCTACTAATTACAGTGTGACTGTGTATATGTAGCTGCACAAAATCCACTGATACTTACTTTGTAATACTGTATCATCCTCATTCATTTATCATCCATTATGTCCATGTTTTATCACTATCCCAATTATTTGAGCTGTTTTCATGTTTCAATGACCTCTGTATAACTTTGCCTTCTGCTTTATATTATAATTGTACCAAAAAGTGAGTGCCAGRCCCTACATGTGTATGCCTTAGGTTTTGGGTGAATGACACTGAGGAGTTGTAGAAACATGAAAACTGCCCTGACTTTAAGACCATAACAGGTTTTACCATGATGTATACACCAAATWGAAAAAAGTGCGTAATCTATGATTTGACATTTTCAAACTGACCACATCTTTTCAATTTGGTATTGTTCCGTTTGTTTGTTTGTTTGTTTTTTGCATGCATTCCATTCATCACAATATTTGTTTGAATATTTATATGTTTTGCATTTGTCATTGAATGATTATTTGTATGCTTGTTTATTGTTATTACTGCTTAAGTAGTATGGTATGTTCATGTTTGTCGTGTAAAGGGAGGTGGTATGTGGTCAGATTAGGAGGGGCCTAGTCTAAAATGCCCCAGTTTGTATTATTGAGTACCCAAAAAAATTTCAGTGTTCAATGCTCCCCCCCACCCCCACTTTTTATGGGAGTTAATTTTCTAGGGGGGGGAGATAACGTTCATCATTAATTTGCAACATTGTCAACTTTATTGTCAACCTGAAAACCAGCATTAGGTCCTTGGGGGGAAAAAGGTTCAAATAAATAGCCCACTTAAAAGATATGCTTTGCTTGTCATACACAAAGASGCTTTGTGCATAATGCTCAGTTGTTCTTGACAGGAGAAAAGAATTTCAATTCAATTCAGCACATAGCCTCATACTAAAACCTTTAAATAAAAATCAAGTTAATAAGGGAAGCATATCTATCTCAGAAGTAGGCTATTCGTTGTAATTAATATTTGATTAATAATTTAAGATAATTTATACTAATGTTTTATTGTCCTATGTTCCAAGGAATTGGCAGCTCCAATGTGATAAAGAATGAAGAAATGGATGGCAACTGGTCAATCCTGCATGAGGAGGGTGCATCTATTGAGTATTACTTTGCTTCTGATGCAAGGTAATGACAGTCAAGCTACATAATTAATTATTAGATCAATCTAAGAGAAGGGTGCAGGGGGCTACAACCACATTCCTTACCCACCCACCCAACCACAAACAAAAAGAACGAATTATCAAACAGAAACTATCAGTTGTCAAAATGCCAAACCCATAGAAAGGTTTACTTAACTACTCAATCCACCCTCTATTAAGGCATATAATGCTGTATATCTCGGTCATCAATTTAATGATGCATGACTTTGTATGGAATCTACTATTATTATTTGCCATCACAATGCAATGTTAAGATTATGTTGGCTGTCGATCAAGGTTCATATTCTTTATAAACTTGTTCTTGATCGAAAACTTTGTGTGCAGGGACAGTGGAACCGGGGGGACMGGGGGGGCACATGCTCCCCCACCAAATTTTTTGGCCTGGCCCCCCCAARAATATTGGTTCTTAGTCATTGTTTTACGGTGCATGCATTTGCAATCAAACAAAACATTGTSATTATCACATAGCGTTAAGTATAATATTCAGTGCTCCCCCCAAAGATTTTTGCAGTGCCCCCCCCCCCCCCAAAGCTTTTTGCAGTGTCCCCCCAAAGATTTTTAGCTTCCGCCGCCCCTGGCGTGTTTTTTGATAGTGTCATGGAAACACTTTGTCTACTAACTATACCAATACCTACTTTGTCTCACAAATCAATAATTATTATTTTATGGCTTCTTTATTATATTATTTTCATGCAATTTACATACTGTAATTCCATTATAATGCACAAGGCATATTATATAGAATACAAGTACATATTTGCTCATCAGTCTTACATCGTACTTAACCAGCAATAAAAAAATCTTACAACTAATATAACAGTATGTTTAGGTTCTTAGTAGTTTGTACACTGTTTTATATCTCGTAGTATAAAGAATAACTTTATAAYTATTTATTTTAATTCTTTCCAACTGTCTATTTTCTTGACTTTTTCTTGACAATGCAGTGCAGTGATAGAGTACACTAACAGAGTGATCTACTTGGAAGACAATGATGTGGCTGCTGTCGTTGATGGAAGTAAGTCATACTCAATTATTGTACATCTGTCCTGATCAGTCTATAATGACTATTACCCTATACCCCTTATATTATTCCTGAGAATATCTGATGACCATGAGGATGCCATGATGGAGATAATACAAACTAGGGTAGAATACAGGTGAATATTTTTTCAAGATGAGAAAAAATGTCCACTCCTAAATTTAAATCCACCCTAAAATGTCTAATATCCAACTGAGCTTACTTTTTCTCAAAAAGAAGGCTTTAAAATAAATATTTTTTAAAAAAAAACTAGTTTTCAAAACAGGCTTTTTTACCATGGTGTACAAAATAACCTAATATATTTGTGTACTTGCTTCAAGCTTTCTTCGCTTTATTTGTACTCTAACTTGAATGGTTGGATAATAAGTCATAATTATTATAATTACAGTTAACTCTTGTTGCAGTAGACACCCTYGGGACCATCACTTCATGCCCGTAATAGCGATAGTCCACAATGTAGCGAAAATTATTATAATGGTCATTTCTTTGTCAGTATTTTTGTCGGGGAATTTTTCTCCTGTCCGTAATAGCAAGTAGGTGTCTGTAATATCGGGGCCTGTCCGCAAGGTGAGAGTTGACTGTATTGACACCTGTTTTCATATYAATCATTTGCCAAGTACCGACAACTCCTGACCAGTTTGCCTGTGTTAAAATAAACATTACTGTCTGCCTATAGATAGTTCAGGTTCCATTAAAGATGGGAGAAAATAGAGTAAGTGCAAAGTTTCAATGTCAACATGCRCGGCACCATTATCAAGCGATTTGAAAGTAAATTATATTTAGTAAATGTCAGTGTCAARGATGTCACTACAAAATTTGCATGAGGTTAAACAAATTTAGTCCTAAGGGAATCAGATTGCATGATCAAAGTTAGGTCTCCTTTATTAGAGCATCTCGTAAAGTAAACTTCTAGTTAAAACAATTGCAAATGATTGGAAAATTTGATGTTTAGTAGAACAGACACRTATCTTAGTAGGGGTTCCAAGAGTGGTGCCTTGTGACCCTCCTTAAACTTATTTCCCATTGGTAGTTTATCTTAATATAACATTTATGCATTTTGTTGTATATTAAATAATGACTTCCTCGTGAGGAATCCAGGAAAATTCCTATATTCAGAAGCCAAAAACTCAGTTTCCTGCATACAACTTTGTAAAAAAGGTATATATTGCTTTTCTTACAGATCTTACGATTCATCGCCTAATACAACATGATGAATCTGATGATGACTATTACAGAAGCGTGCAGACTTTGCAGTTGGAACTACAAGAGATCATGAAAGGTATTTAAACATACCATTAGACAATAGAAAGATATAACTAGCTAAAAACTAGTGTGAGCTGCGTCGGTGTTTCTAATGAAACAGTAATGATGAAAGGGTAAATTATACACCGTGAAAAGATGAAAAAACTTACTGACGTTTCGGACGCTAGTCCTTCGTCGGAGTAAAAGAGCTCTTTTACTCCTCTTTTACTCCGACGAAGGACTAGCGTCCGAAACGTCAGTAAGTTTTTTCATCTTTTCACGGTGTATAATTTACCTTTTCATCATTAGACAATAGGCTAAGTATTATCTTGAAATTGTCAAAGCTAAGTGGAGTTAAAGTTGTCAAAGTTGTGTTTATATGTAGATTCAAGTGCATTTCTCCTACTATTCCCCTTTCCCCAGGGGTGAATACAGGGGAGAGGATCCACAGGGAAAAAGTCCAGATTCCCAAATTGGGAATGTGTTGGGAATTTCCTTGAATTCCCAACGAATTGCCATCCAATTCCCAGAGAGAACGAAATTGGGAACGTGGCACTGATTCCCAATGTTAGTTTGTTGGGAATTTTGTTTTTTCTATTAGGTATTAGAAGGAAATTCCTAACAATACCCAATTTGGGAATCTGGGTTTTTTCCCTGTGTGAGATGAACTGGGTGGTGGCTTTCAGGGTGTGCACCCTCCCCCCCAAATAATAACAAAAAGGCCATTAAGCTGAAAAATTATAAACAAACCCTTCAATGTGCTGTGATAAGTCGACAAAATAATGCCAATAGTGGTGCATCCCTTGGATCCACTCCTGACTTAATTTTTAAGTTAGAAATTAAGATAATTAAGAACTTACAGTAACGTTATATCTAACTTTAGAGGTTCAAGMAATATTCTGGTTTTCTCATGAAATCATCTTGGATCTGCCATTATATATTATGACCCCATTCCACCCACCCACAAAGGGGTATATATAAGCCATTCTAACAGCAAAAGGTTTAGACAAGGGCAATTAATCTTTCAATCAATATTGTTTTTCAGGAAACTTTGCTTCATTCATGCAGAAAGAGATTTTTGAACAACCAGAGAGTGTGGTAAACACCATGAGAGGCCGAGTTAACTTTGAAAATAACAATGGTAAGTTATAGCAGTTTTCAATGTTATGTACCAGATTTTGGCACCTTATAATATTAAYCCAAAATTTTTCTGGTACTTATAATTTATRCCARGRTGGAGCTATTTAGGGAAGCAAAGTYAAGTGTTGTACCTATCAGTTAGAACAATTTATTGTAGTTAGTTACCTTTTTTTCTGGGCATAATGTATTTCAGACCAAGGAACAGGTTATTCCCTTGAGAATATTAACTAAGATTCTTTGTGTGAGTTACAACGAGTTACAAAGGACCACGTATATTAATGTACCATATGTATCCACTCATGCGCAACTTATTCTTCTGGGTCTGGTTTTACGAATCCTGGGTAGCACTATTCTGCAGATAAATCCTTATCCAGTGGATAAGTCGATGCTGTTATCCAATAAATTTATCCACTGGATAAGGATTTATCCATCGGATAGCACTATCCAGGCTTTGTACAACCAGGCCCTGTAAACAAAAAAAAGAAAAACATTTACTAAATAAATAAATAAAGAATGCACAATTTAAATAGGGAAAACAACAAAATATATGCCTTGGCTTTTTTTGTTATTTATTGTGAGAGACACTTATTAACAATATTGAAAATATATATTTGATTGTTATCCAGTGCTTTTGGGAGGACTCAAGAGTTACATGAGTACCATTAGAAGATGTCGTCGCATCATGCTTATTGCTTGCGGAACCAGCTTCCACAGTGCAGTAGCAGTAAGTACTTCCATGTTAATTACCACATTTACTTAGTTGTGGACCTAATTCATCTTCAAATGGCGCAATGTTTACCCATTTCAGAATGTGTCATTCCCTAGAGAATGTTGCTGTAAGATTTTTGGAAAATTGGTGCTATTTTTTTGGTTTCCATGTCATCATTTGATATYGTCTTCCTTTATCCTAGACAAGACAACTTTTAGAGGAGCTAACAGAGTTGCCAGTTGTGGTAGAGTTGGCCAGTGATTTCCTGGACAGAAGAACACCAGTTTTCAGAGATGATGTGTGTTTCTTTATCAGCCAATCAGGTCAGTCTCAATATCTGTTCATATTATAACATTCATGCTAAAGACGAGTGTGGTGTGGGGATATGTCATTGAATACTCACCAGTGAGCACTTGCAGGTAATATTGAAACTTACCCTGGTAGTCTCTTTGTCCTCAGTATTGGCCACAGACCCTGCCCAAATGGAAGTTATACTAATGTGGCTGCTAATTAGGAGACAATACAGCATGGTAATACACTGAGTGTATTTTATTCATTATTTAATTAGGAGAGACTGCAGATACACTCATGGCTTTGAGATACTGCAAGGGGCGTGGTGCACTTATTGTGGGCATCACCAATACAGGTATGTTAACACCTTGCCACTGCACATTGGGAAGATATACTTCTTATATATTTAATGGTGAGGAGGTTTGGATAGCAAAAAACTGTGTCCGAGGTCCTGAACATACTTCATATACACTGACCGAGGTCAATCAATAGCTAGGAGACAGGAGGGTTGATAGAAAATGCTGCCTGCTCCAACAGCCAATCAGAATGCACAATTTTT